GTGATGTACCTTCGTTCAACCCTAAAACATTTCTTTCATGTTCGCTTCCATGTACTGCAGATTCCCTAACTAATGTATCATGCATCTCTAAATACTCTGAATACATTTCATAAAGTGCATTCTTCACTTCTTTAATGTTCTCGTCTGAATTTTGATAAAGTGTTGGAAAACAAAATTCAACCAACTTCATCTTGAACCGTGGATCTAACACAAAAGCTATTGCCGTTACAAGGTGGCACTCACCCAAATACTTGTCAAACTTTTCCTTCATTTTCTTCAGCATATCACGAATAAAATCATTTGCAGATAATGAACCTTTATCATCAGTTTGCTTCAATCTAAACACTTCAATTAGATATAAATTAGCAGTAGGATAATCACTGCCAGAGATGATATTCGTGCACACCTAAACATAATCGTTGGATTTAGTCAACAAAAAAATCATTTATTTATAAAATATTATGCATATTAAACACAAACCTTAAAAACCTTCAAAATTTCACATACACTTTGAACATTTTCGCAATCTTTGTCAGTTGGCAAGTGATGAAAATGTGGTTCATACTCTGCATACCTGAGAAAACCACAATTAAGGTGTTAGTGAATATGAACATGTGTTAAAAACTTTAAGGTATATTTTATTATACATTGGGAAAGCATATTTGAACTTTAGAGCCATGCACAACATATCATAGGTTGAATTCCATCGTGTTGGAACATCAAGCATTAACTTTCGATCACGTATTTGCATTTGATGTGCAGCCTTTGAAAAATTTAGACGTCTACCCTTCGAATTGTTAATATACTTTATACCCTCACAAACATCACCGATGATATGATCAATTATTGCAAGACCATCTTTCACTAGAAGATTCAATATATGTGCACAACACCATATATGAAATAATCTACCACCACATGAAAGTTTTCTTACACGCGAAAAAGTTTCTTTCAATCTTCTTAAATCTTTGTCATTATAAGCTGCGTTGTCAACTGAGATGGTGAAAATCTTATCTTTAATTTCCCACTCTTGCAAACACTTGTAAATACCATCAGCAATATCAACCACAGTACGAGGAGGAGGAACATGTACAAAACTTAATACACGTTTCTGTAATCTGTAGAAAAAACGTTGAGATATAAATTAAAATATGATAGTAAGAAAAAGATAAATAATTAAATATTAAAATTGAGCAAGTTGTTAAACTTCCAATTATGATCTACAAAGTGTGCAATAATAACCATATACTCAATTTTCTGATGCGAAGACTTCCAACAATCAGTTGTTAAACTGATTTTAGAGGCAGCTTTTGTAAGGGCTTTCAACCTTTTCTTCTCATGCTCGTATACCTTAAAACAGTCTGATGTAATTGTAACTCTGCTTACTTTCTCAAACAATGGAGTAATTATCTTCATCATTTTCACAAACATGACATCTTCCACAGTAGCACAGAATCCGGTCCGATCAATGGTGGCACAGAATCCACATCACACCCACTAGGCTGAAAATTTAGTTTTTGTTGGTTTTGTTGCCATTGTTTATGGGGGATGCAGCTGTTTAGGTGTCTTCTATATGATGATGTAGGACCTGAACCAGTAAAAGGCAACCTCGACTTACAGTGAGTGCACTCGGCTTTTTTCGTACCATCTCGGAGTGTAACTACAACAAAGTCATCCCATACTTTTGATGTTTTTTTTTGTTTTCTCGTTAATTGTACATCATCTTCACCAGCTTCGTTATTTTTTTCTGTCACACTTTCATTTTCATTAGGAATTTGACTTGTCGTATCTTCATTTGGAGTAGTTGTGTGATCCATACCATGTACTAATTGTGATGACGGATTATCAATCCCAACACCTGTTTCGGCCCCCATATCTTTTATTGGACTTAACAGGTTTGTTGTAGACCCTCCATCATCCATTGAATCTTCATAAGAAAACAATACAAATCTTAGATACATCAAATTGAAATAATATTTATGCAACACTAAACAACTCACTATAACACCATGAACACCAACAAATACACATAATATTATGCAAAAGTAAATTTGAAAACAACAAACAGGTGATGAGGTTGCAATTGTAAAAAAGGTGAATTAATATGTAAGAAAAGAAAAGAAAAGCAAACAGGTTATCACATTGCAATTTGCAAAAAGGTGATCACATTGCAAACTTGCAATTGAGGAGTGACGATTTTAATCACGTTGCAAACTAACATGTCTGTAAATATATACTACAATAGCACATGTATCTACATATACATCGTATGTAAATATATACTTAATATATACTACAAGTCTACAATAGCACATAGATAGTTTATCTGCTCACTATATCAATCGATTCATTCTATCACAGGATCGGAAATCGCAATTAATAATAATCATACCTGTTGTCTATTGAGAACGAGATGGATTCGGGAGGGCAACGTCGACTGTCGACTGGATTCGGAAATAAATTGTTACGTCGATCGTCAATTGGAATTTGGAAATCAAGGATTAATTATCGTCACGACTCGTGACGTCGTCCTAGATGGTAAACAGGTAATGGTATGTCGACCGTCGTATTCTTGTAGGGTATATGTCGTATGTGTGTGCGAAATAAGGGGAAGGTCGGCAAAAGCAGTAAGGTAGGCACGTTGTTTGATTTCAATTCATAGAAAGTTAGAAACATTAAAGAAATTAAGGAAACAAATTATTAAATTAATAATATTAATAATATAAATATATAATATAAGGAGTGAAAAAAATATTTATATTATAGTGTATATAGGCTCGTTTAAGCTCGCGAGCCCTAGTCGGGCTCGGTTTAAAAGCTCGGGCTCGAGCTCGTTTAATAAATGAGCCCCGAGTAAAGCTCAAGCTCGGCTCGGGCTCGTTTAAATTGAGTTCGAGTCGAGTTTTTAATGAGTCGATTCTGAGTAGCTCACGAGTAGCTCGACTCACTTACACCCCTACCTCCAACAATTCCATCCCTAAGAGTAAGCCTTTTACAATGGCCATGAAAGTATGTCCATGAGGTTATGAAGAGTGGTCACACCCACGCCACTGGAAGAGCGCTCAAACGCAACGTCATATCAACTCCACCACTAACTCGCTAGAAATTGGAAATGCTTCCCATACCATAATATTCATTTTTTTAACATTAAATTAAATAAAAAACATAATTTAAAACATATATAAATATTTTAAAAACATAGAAAAATAAAACCAGATTTCATTAATTAAAAACATAAAAATTTAAAACCTAAATTACTAAAAAAACATAAAACATACAAAATAAAACATTACATTACTTAAAAAACATAAAAACTTAAAACATAAAAAACATAGAAAAATATTTCTCGTCGTCGTTGTCGTCACCAGCCTCATCCGCATCGTCGTCACCGCCTCATCCTCGTTGTCTTCAATGTCATTCTGCCTTGAAATTGTATTTTCCATATGTATTTCCAAAACCCTTTTGAAATATGCCGAACTGCCAACTTGTATTACTGCAGGTAGATTAAGAATATCGTTCGCGGTATATGAACAAATAACCCTACACTCTTCTATTATCATGTTATGTAAAATAACACAAACAGTCAACACCTTCATCAATTTTGACTTATCCCATGTTTGTGCCAGATATTTGAATATATGTCACTTTTGTTTGAGGACTTCAAACGCTCGTTCCACATCCTTCCTTGCAGATTGCTGTGCTAACTTGAACAATTATCGTTTTTTATTAGCCGAAAATGAATACAACTTGACAATTGTAGCGTACTCTAGATACAACGTATGACATATTTGATGCTTTACCTTGCAACATATTGTTAAATAACGGAGATGCTTGGAGCACATTAAGGTTATTGTTTGACCCCATCATACGAAAGAATGCATACCAAAATTATAGGTCCTGTGAAACAACTGCCTCTAATATAACAGTCGGCACCTAATGATTACCTCACGTGAATTGAGCACGCCACGCGTTGGGACAATTTGCCAACTCTCAATGTGTACAATAAATGCTACCAAACATCCCTGGAAAACCATGTTTAGCTTGATGCGTGACACATAAATGTTCCACATCACTTTTAGTCGGATATCGCAAATATATGTCACGGTAAAACTTTATGACATAACAACAAAAAAGATATTTACAGTCTCGACTCGATCTTTCAAACATTTTCAAATACTCATCTGATACGTCTACGACTATACTATATCTCAATTGTCTAAGAATGACTGTATATTTTTGTATTATAGTAAAACCACGTTCTAGCATCTCATTTTAATTGGAAAAACTCATAATTATGTTCAAATATCTAGCTATACGTAAGAATAAATTTATACTAATACGAAAACGTTCTTTGCATTTCGATGGATCATATAAATTATCATGGGCAAAATAATCACATACCAAAAGTTCATTTTCCGCCTCTCGATTCCGATGATCCATTTTGTACACTTCTTCTCGATATTTGGACTTTCGCCTCTCATGTACCATGTTTTGTGCCGCAGACAACCTTGTGTGCAAAACCAAATAGTTATCAAAATCATCATCGGATGAAAGAGAAATTAAACCCAAAAAATTATCCTTCTCGACATTTGGACTTCTCGACATTTTTTTTTTTGATAGAATGCTAGTTATATAATATCATAATTAGTGATAACTACTTCGGATGTTACCCCAACAAATCATTTATTTGATAATACCAACCAGTAATTAAGTTTTTTGTTTTTAGAACGACAATATTTACAGGGAAATAGAGAAAAAAAAAGCACCGCAAGCATTAATCATGTCATCTCAATAATATATAGAGACTGTCCCTCCAACCCCTTTAGTCCACCCATCACATTCATAGACCTGTCTCTTTCTTTTTCCCTTTAGTCACGCTACCCATATAGCCCCCACAAATTCCCTCATTTCCCCAAATTCTGCATCTTTTTTCTCTGTTTAAAACTTCAAAATCTTCATCTCATCTGGGTAAATCCCAAATCTTCACAACAATTAAAAAAATGGACTCATCTTCTCCCTCACCCATCTCTTTACCCGATCAAAAACCCAAGAAAACCTTCGTGGATTCACTAATGGACTCCGCCACCACTCCCCACCGCACGCCGTCGTTCAAAGAAGACACTTACCATCTCCACAACCTCAAACCTTCAGAAAAGAAAGCCCTCCAAGAACTCAAAGACAAACTCACCACCACCTCCGACGACGACAATGCGTCCATGTGGGGCATCCCATTGCTTCCACCCACCGCCACCACCGAAAAATCCGACGTCATTCTTCTGAAATTCCTCAGGGCAAGAGACTTTAGGGTTCAAGATTCACTCAACATGCTCCTCAAGTGTCTTTCATGGCGGAAAGATTTCGGAGCCGACTCCATTGTTGAAGAGGATTTAGGGTTTAAAGAACTCGAAGGTCTGGTGGCGTACATGAATGGGTACGACAGAGAAGGTCATCCCGTTTGTTATAATGCTTATGGCGTGTTCAAAGATAAAGAAATGTACGAGAAAATATTCGGAGATAACGATAAATTGAAGAAATTTCTCAGGTGGAGAGTGCAAGTTCTTGAAAGAGGGATCAAGATGCTCCATTTAAGACCTGGTGGTATTAATTCGATTATTCAGGTTACTGATCTTAAAGACATGCCCAAAAGAGAGCTTAGAGTTGCTTCCAATCACATTCTCTCTCTCTTCCAAGATAATTACCCAGAAATGGTTGCTCGTAAGGTACATCAATCACTCATAATTTGTATTTTTCTTTTAACTTATTGAGTTTGTGCATTGATGGGTTGTATGTTACAACACCTCGACGAACACTAGTTCTAGGAAATTGCAAAGCTTTGTGCGTATATTACCCATAAATGGTTTGCTCGTAAAGTGCCTTAATTGCTTAATTTGATAATATTTCCCCCCAAAATGTTTTTTTCTGTGTTTGTGCTTTAGTGAGTTGTATCGTACAACTCAATGATGCATACGGATTCTTGAAAAATTGAAAGCTTGTGCTATTGTGCATAAAATTATTTGCTCAATTATTAATGTACGCTATAGAACTGAACATTCCATGAAGTGCTAGCCATTTAAGTTAGATTTTTAGAAAATTTGATACCTTTTGCATCAATGAGTTGTATTCTATCGTACAACTCATTGATGCAGATGTAGACGATTAAGTCATACCAATGGATTTTCAGTTTTCGTGAAAATGGAAATTGGAAGCTTGTGCATCGTTGAATTCTATGGTACAACTCAGTGCAGCACATGACAGATAAAGTCGAAACCTTGTGCATCAAAAGAGTTGTACAATGTTGACGTAATGATTTGGAAAAAAAGTGATAAAATATTACAAACCTGTGAATTATTTTTATGGGTTTTTTGTAAAATACAAAAATAATATATTTTTATTTAACATTAATTTCTACTTTTTTGATATGGGTGTAGATCTTTATCAATGTACCATGGTACTTCAGCATGTTATACTCGATGTTCAGTCCATTCTTGACTCAAAGAACCAAAAGCAAGTTTGTGCTTTCTAAGGAAGGAAATGTCGCAGAAACCCTTTACAAGTTAGTATTCTTTTTCAACTTCAACTATTCCATTTCTGACATGTACAACTCTCACTGCATCATGTACAACTCAAATTGCACGATTTACAAGCCACTGTAAAACAATGGTAGTTCACGTTTGTTTGTCTGTGGGGTGAACTGCATTCAAGTTTTGTACTCCATGTATGTTAGCTTGTACCAAAAATACGCTTTTACAGTTTAAAATTAAAAAACTAAAATTTGATTTTTTGTATATTATATTTTTAGGTACATTAGGCCAGAGGATGTTCCAGTACAGTATGGTGGACTGAGTCGACCCAGTGATTTGAACAATGGTCCTCCTAAACCAGCTTCTGAGTTCACAGTCAAAGGTGGAGAAAAAGTTAATATTCAAATTGAGGGCATTGAGGTAATTTACTTATCTTCTTTACTTCTGTACTTTTTTTTGCTTAATGGATTGGTAATAGTTGTAGTATAGTACCATTGTTGTAATTGAAAAGGAAGGACCTACATAGACATATACAAATAAACAATGAATCAATGATTAACTAACTACTTCTTGCTTTGATAGATTGTACTATGTGCAATACATAAAGTAAACTTTTAACAACCACTAATGTACAAATGTTAATGCATGTGGTACAACTTGTGTAGGCGGGTGCAACCATAACTTGGGATATTGTGGTTGGAGGGTGGGATTTGGAGTATAGTGCAGAGTATGTCCCCATTGCAAATGGAAGCTACTCGATTGCGGTTGAGAAAACTAGGAAGATGGGGCCCACAGAAGAAGCGGTTCACAACTCTTACACTGCAAAAGAAGCGGGAAAGTTGGTTTTGTCTGTTGATAACTCGGTTTCAAGAAAAAGGAAGGTGGCATCGTATAGGTATCTAGTAAGGAAATCGGGTGCTGTGATGTGAGTTTGTTTCATTGTTGTTGTGTCGTGTTTTGTTATGGTGTTTTTTGTGGTATTGAGAGATTGTAATGAAGTAATGATGTTTGTCTACGTGATATGTAAGTTGTAAGTTGTAACCATAAAAACGGTTGTATTACATTTTGTCTAATTAGAATAAGAGTAGATTAAATATTAGATTTCGTTTTCAAGGATATGATCGTTCTTATAAAAAGGTCATTGATAAAAGGTTGAATGGTTGATTAATGCTTCGAGTTTACAATAGAGTTGGTTTTGAGCTAAGTATCATATGATAGAATCTTGTGTACCCGATTTACAAGATGGTGTGAGTGTGACTAGTGTAGGGAGATTTTCAAGAATACGTTATTTAGAGACAAATGACTTGTTTCAGGCTAAGTTCCAAGGACATATGTATCTTGTTTGTCAGGGTCGATGTAAAATACAAAACATAAAGTGTCACAACGATAGTAACCAAACAGTTGGAGAGTAAATTCTGTAATGAAGGAATTGTGTTGAATAGCGGGGGACATGGCCTGAACTTTGGTGTTATTTGATTTGTGTCGTATGATGGTTTTGAGGTAGAAGTGGTGTGATGTGATCAAACATGCTAAAGTATTGGTTTTAATAAAAGAAAGGCACAAAAGGAAGGGAGGGAGGGAGGTTGGTTGAACCCGTGAACAGAAGTCACATGCATGTATGATGGCGTATGATGTGATGATGGTCACAAGCTCCTAATGAAAGCATGCTTTCGCTTTAAAGGACCACTTCCTCTGCTAGTGCTGTAAAATTATATATATATATATATATATATATATATATATATATATATATATAATATATATATATATATATATATATATATATATATATATATATATATAAACACAAATCATACGCCAACAAGAAGTTGTAAGCAAACACCACACGGATTATAAAAGATATCTAGATATCAAACATGAACACGACATGCAATTAACCTGTCTAGTACATGCTACAACACAAATACAAGACATTTAGTTGTGTTACACATATTTGAACAAATTTATGTAAACTATTGTATACAAATTTATGTAGTATCACAAGGGTTACTGTCACAATTAAGTAAAAACCTATTCAACATGTTCGTATAAACTAAAAAAACTGTTATGAGATGGTAAGTTAATATTATATTTCTTTTTCCTCAAAAAACACTATTGTGATCTTATATAACAGATTTAATAAGAAAAATCATCCAAGCTTGATATGTTTGTTCAAAAAACACTCATAAACTCTGTATGTTTATTAAACCTATTCAAACTACCATTCACCACAACCTTTTCCGGACAAAACCACAATTTCCGGCCAAATTTTTTATTACTTATATTCTTCCTTTTTAAATGATCATTTGAAGCAAAGTTCTGTTAATTTCTTCACTGGTTTCAACCATGTTTGATTCTTTTTGTCGACTATAATATATATTAATTAAACCAAGTTTGATTTGATTTGAATTTGTGTTATATGTGAACTGATATGATTTTGCTCGATTCTTTTTGTTGACTATAATGTCAATCGAACTCATTCGCGTTTTGGTTAGATGGTTTTCTATAATGTTTTTGTAATCCCATGCTTTTTCCTTGTTGATCTTTTGATGTCTAATGTAAGGTGTATTTCATGCGTTGCATTGTTAATATTTATAAAATGTATCATGGCACACCAACCAAAGTTGTTGCAAAGTTATTTAGGTAGTGTTTGTTTTTTGTTTTGTGTTGTTTTTTTTTTTTTTTTTTAAAAAAAATAAAATTCTTTTGGTGTTTTTGTTTGCGTGCCGACATAGTTTCTGTTGTCCTGTTTGAAAATTGTTTAGAAGACCGACCTCTGCACACATTCTTTTCATACAAGACTTGGAAATTCACTTCTAACTTCTAAAACGAGAGGCTATGGGTGAAAAACTTTTCTAACTTTTTGTGAGCTACATCACCATTTCACTTAGGTGCTGTTTGTTTTTTGAAAAAAACCTCTTCAAACCTCTTACTGCTGCGCGGCGCAGCACACGCGCATCACTTTTCATATCGCAACTGTTTGTTTTTTTAAAAGTTTTCTGAGTTAAAAACCTCTGCGCAAGCTCTGTTTGGCGCAGCACTTGTACTGCCTCTTCTAACCTCTTCCAACATCTTCTTCTTCTTTTTTTATTGCTGAGATTTTGATTATATGTTATTAAAATTTTATTTCACATTTTTTTTTTCGTTTTTTTCGTTTATTCTTATTGAATTTATTTTTCATTTTTTTATATTCAATAATGATAATTTCTTGATGAAATATCATTATTTTTTACTGAAATATCTTTATTTTTTGTTGAAATATCATTCTTTTTTTATTGAAATATCATTAATTTTTACCGAAATGTTATATATTATTAAATTTTACGTATTAAAAAGTTATTTTCGGTTTATAAAATTAGTTTATTTTAATTTTTTAATATCTGCAGCAGTATGCAGATGTTAAAAAAACAAACACGCTTCTTATTATAGTCTGCAGCCGTTTGGTCCACCTCTTCTACTACAGAGGGTTGCAGAGGTGGTCCGCAGACTTCATGAATTTTTACTTCAGAAAATCAAACAGCACCTTACTTTTCTTTCCTTCATCTAAACCCAATGAATGAGTGACAAGCTTCCCTCACTATTTCTTTTATAAATAAAATTACTTGATTTTTATGATTTATAATTTTTAAATTAATAACAACAACAAAAAAAAAATAATTAAAAAGAAAATGCATTTCATTAATTAAAATAAAAATTACAATAAACCTAAGATTTAAAAAAGTAAAAAAAAAAACACAAACAAAAAATCAAACAAACCAACAACTTATGGAAAATATTTTTTTCATAATTTTTTTCCCTCTTTTTCATCACGAGCTTGAGAGCCGGTCCCGAAAGATGGTCGGTGTTTTCCATCAAGAACTTCATATCCTCAATTTCTTATCTTTCCGCGCACTCCTTCTTCTTTGGTTCTTATTTTTCTTTGTTGAACGTCAAACGTTCAGAGAAATTAAGATTATATCGATCAAACGACGTTGTTATTTTCCGTATTTCGTCAACGTCCATACCGAAATCCGATGCACCCGCAGAAGTCCATTTTCCCTTCCTCTTTGTTTTGTCCCTACCTATCGGTCGGACAATTCTTCTAGCTCGAGTTCGTCATCCTGATTTAAATCTAGATCGACCCGAGCATCAGAGGAATTTGTGTAACCACTAGAACCCGTTTTTGGTCGTTTTGATTGTTGTACTCTAAAAATAAAATCTTGCTTGTATTTTTTCCACCTAGGACATCTAACCAATAATTTCCAACAATCGTGCCACTTAAATGGTTTTCGTCAAGGTAAAATTGTAAAGCTTCTTGAAAGATTTCTTCGTCATCTTGACCTTTTTTTTTTTTTTTTTTTGGGGGTTTTTAGGTTATTGTACAACCCGTTTATTTTTAAACCCCCTTTGATATTTTTAGAAACTTCGAATTCAGTTGGTGTTTCGTACGGTAGTCGTCATCTTTTTCTAGCTCCTCCCGAAACCGTTCTAAAATGCGAAACCAAAAATGCTCTCCCGGTTGTGCATTTTCCGTCTTCGAATCCTCAGAAATGTCAACCCAAGCTTTTACCAAAACTAGCTCTTCTTGTAGAAGCCATGATGTCGGCTTTTGTCTTCCCGGTTGTGCGACACCCTTGCACGCTTGTTGTTTACCTTTGCGACGTTGTAGGGTGGTGTGGGTTGAGTTTCGGGAATCATATCTTCTTCTTTCGAGTCATCCAACTCATCGACAAGTTGGAATTGTTGTTGGGTTTGAGTTTGAGTTTGGATTTGGGGGGTTGATTTGACGAAAGTTGATCGGGAAAAACAACAAAGTTTGAAACATTTGCGGAGTAATATTTGGAACTTGGACTGAGTAATACTGTCTAATATTTTGGTATTGAAATTGTAGTGAAGATTGAATGAGAGCATCGAGTTGGAGACAATAAACTTCTTGTAATCATGAATCGATAGCAAAAATGTTTCGAGTAGGGGTGCTTAAACTCGAAACTTGTTTTTTTTTTCCTATCGGAGGTTGGGATTTGGTTGTCGGGATTTTTTTTTTTTTTTTTTTTTTTGAAGAAAATAGAGGTTGTAGAGGGTTTGTTTGAAAGTTTGATGGAAGGTAAATGAGTATGAGTATTTATAAATGTTTTAAAGGGTATAAAAAAGTAAAAAAAAAAAAAAAGAAGCTACATTTAAATGCATATAGCCATTGGTAAAAAAATATGTTTTTTTACCGTTTTTTAACGGATACTTTAAAAAAAGATTTTTTTTACACCAATAGTAGGAGGGAGAACGCGGCAACCCAATCCCCCACCCTTTCCCGCCCCGACGGTGCGGTGTTCCACCATGCGGGAAGAGTCCCGTAGCCTTCCTGCGCATCATTCCATCCGGCCTAAGGTTTGCAAAAGTTAAAAAAACGAGGTTTCCTTATATATTTTATAATATCTATTTATAGCGATGATAAAAATAAAAAATTTATAATTATTGGGAGTAATTACAACTAAGTTGTTCATATATCATAGTTTCTTCCTTCTTCTCATAAGCTTAATTTTTTTTGTATTTAGATTAGTTGTCATTGTTTACAAAAACAAAAAGATTGATATCATAAAAAGTTATATTGTAAATATAAACAATAAATTCTTTTTGAATTATAAGGTAAAATATTAAAATTAAATAATTAATAGAAAGAGAAGAAGTTATACATTGATTATAAATCGTTGAAAAGAATACGATACATATGAAATACAATTGAGTTTACAGTAAAAGGATGCGCTTCACCATTCTTGAAAATGCCTAAAATGATATTTCACTTTTGCATATATATTACATAAACGCACATAAATAATTTTTTTTCAAGCCTTTTCCGATAAATCTAAATATTATTTATTTCAAACTAATTACAATATTTTGAAAGAGACATTATTTAGTTATATCTTTCAGAGTAAAATATCTAATATAATGTAAAAGAAAATATAGTTTTATAGATATTGTTGGATTTTATTAACATCAATATATTTTCTAAAGGTAGTAGAAAGAATCAAAGGGAATAACATTTTGGTTTCTCAATTGAGACCTTATAATTGCCAAAATTTACGATGGATGAAGAACCCGTAATAAAATCCCTCTAATGTAGTTAGACCCACAAACTCCAAAAGCTAAAAAAGGAATCACCCTAGATTAGAGTTTTATGAAAATT